AGACACAAATGATCCTATTTGTTTATCAGATTTAGATTTCGATGATGAATGGATTATTGAGCAAGTGGAGCCTTCTGTAATGGATGGGGAATCTTCGATGGATGTCTATTAGTCTTCAACATTGATGAAGGAGACCAAAGCAAAAAGATAAAGAGAGGTATATTTGCTCGTATAGTGTTTCTTTTAGTCAAACGCCTTATCTCATTTATTTATATATGTAATTGTAGATTTTGTTATGTACATTTTTTATTTTTTAGGTCCTCGAAATCTTAAAGCCGAGAAGAATGATAAAAAGTAAAGGTATCATCATACAAGAACAAGAAAATGTCAGCAGTTGATAAACAAAAGATATTGCCAAAAAGAATGACAAGGGAAAATGACCTCAAATTGTTTAAAAAGAAATGATAGATGAGTCAAATGACTACCCTAACGAAGAGGATGATGAATTAGTTATGTCAATGTTACAAAAATTGGATCGGATCGGTCGGTTCGAACCCAAAACCAGTAAACCGGTCATGTGACCAGTCCGGGTAGAGTAATAGATAGAAGATGTACGTGACTCGGCGTGACCTGGTGCGAATCGGAGTGAACCGACCGTTTTTACTAAAATCGGTGACTCGCCTAGTCAGAAAAAAAAACTTTTGGAATGAAACCATACAGTGTAGACATAGAGAAGAAGAAGGAAGAGTCGAAGACGATGAAGAAGTCGAAGACATTAGAAAAAGCATCGGCATGATGTCCAATTGCCATTGAGGAGAAGACATAGAGAGAAAAACTGAAATTTCAAAACGATATGCAGGAGAAAGAGAAAACAAGGAGAGAGAGACTTGCGCAATAAAATCACAAAACCATGGACTGTTTTACTTTTTGGCATCTGATTTCATTTGGGCCACTCATTTCTTATCTATATCTTCTTCTTTTTTAATTTTTTATTATTTAAATTTACAATTCTTTATTTCTATTATTTTTACGTTCTTTATTATAACGAGTATTGCATTTGTGTTTTTTTATTTTATTTTGATGCCACAAATATTAATTTTATGTCATAATTTTAAAAAAATTTTGAAATATGAAATATAAAATTTAAATTAATATATATTTATCTGGTTTAAGAGGTTGAACCAGTGACCCATTGACCCAGTACCTCTACCAGTTCGGTCATCGGGCCGGGTTTGATAACATTGCGTAAAACTAACTCTATTTCCTTATTCTCTTGATACACAAAATTATTAATCAATGTACATAATGTATTGTATATAATGAAAAATACTATTTTAAAGTGAGGATATTTTAAAATAAGTGAGAAATAATATATTTATTTTTTAAATTATTTAATGGATTAACATCACCAAATATTTTATATTAAATTATATATATTTTATTTATTTAGTTTATAGATAATTTTACGGAAAAACTATTTGTGCTTTAAAATGGTATAAGTTGTGTCTTTTTAATTTTTATATGTACTCTCGGTAGTAGTACATAGTTATAATATGAAAAATTAATTTTTTTTTTCTTTCCTCAGTCACATCAACTGGCGTGGAAATTGAAAAAAAAAACAAATTTTCATGTTATAACAATACTTAGAATAAAAAACTAAAAGGACACAACTTACATCCATTAAAAGAACACACACTAAATCCTAATTTTATTTGGTGAATAATTTTTTATATATTAAAAGTGAGAAATTTAAGTAATTTGCATGAGGTTATTGGTTCAAAACTCTAGTAGGCCCCCAATTTACAAATGTACACTGCCAATAATGAAAACAAAAATCTTATAGAGCATAGTTATCGTAAATGAGAAAATCGACCGGCTTAGATACGTATATAACTATATATTAATTAGAGACAAGTTGCAATTATCTGTCTGTAAGTAGGTTGTATCTACGTGAGCGTGCACGCCGTGCAAATAAGTGGACGAAAAAGACTTATTTATGTTAGACAAGTAAAAGCAGTTGAATGAGCTTTAGAGAAAATTAAAGACCTTTCAATATTTGGTATAAAATAAGTCTATCAACGTGAAATAAGAAATGTCGTCTATGACTCTGTCTAACTAAATAAAACAATGAAGAGTGAGAATGAACAAGAAAGGACCAAGTTCGGAACAAGGCAACTTGTCTCTGTCAAGAAAAACAAAATCTTGCAAGCATATATATATTTATACAGTGAATATAGATAAGTTATCTGTATTCACTCCCAAAACTATATCGTTTTGAGTTCAATGTAAATAACTTATCTACGTTAACGGCAGAAAAAAGACCCAAAATGCACATGCTGACCGTCTGAAAACGTGCATTGATCATTTGTTGGCCAATATAATCAAAATCCACCGTTAAGCAGTCCTAGAATCACCAATTGCAGTGTCAATCTCATTATTTAAATAAAAAATAAAAAATCAAACCAATCTATGAAAATCATATATGATTACCAGCAATAAAAAATAAAAATAATAATGAAGAAAATCTATTATAGAGATATAAAATAATTAATCTAATCTCACCCAAAGCCTTAAGGTTTTGGGTTAAATTGAATTTTATCATAATATTAGAGCTTTAGTGACCACGAGGTTACGAGTTCGATCCTCACTGCCACCACTTTCAGATGAAATTAAGAAAAGCCGACCAAAAGAAAATGAATTTGTGCAGCACAAGACAATGTTACCTAGCTCGAAATGGAAGTAACTCATGGTCATAATCCCTGAACTAATATTCTGTTAAAAACCAATTCAACTCAAAAGTCTAGGCTGATGGGTGAAGATTTTTTAATGGTTTATATTATTTTTTAACACGTCCCCTCAATAGAATAATCAATTCAACCCAAAAGCATGGATGAAGACTTTTTAATAATTTATATTATTCGCTAACATATTCACTAATCAAAATGCGACAAAAAGATGCATCCTCAAACTATGAATTTGGTTATGCTTGTGTATTGTGAGTAATGAGTTCCTGTAAAAACAAAGTTACATGTGGACAAATACGATTAAAAAAGGGGAAAAAGTATTTAATGATACTTTAGACAACTTTGTCTAATGTTCATTGATTTATAATTGAAAAAATAAAAAATTAGAATGATAAAAACTATTATAATCCTGAAAAAAAATTCAAATTATAAAAACACTATGATTTGTGCTCCAAAACGACGTCGTTTCAGTGAATAATAGATAAAGTTATCTAAAGTAACTTTAAAAAAAACAAACCTTTAAAAATGTGTTACCAGAAAAAGAAAAAAGAAAAATACGATTAAAAAAAGAAGAAAAGGAAAAGCCAATTTTTCAGCATAGTATCACTGTCTCTTTATGGGAACTATCGTCCTTGATGAGACCGAAGAAAGTTTTTGTCTGAGTTGAAGGAGGACAATTCTTAATCTTACTCGTTTTCTTCACCCCCTGCATTACGGTAACGACTAGATAAGTCGGTCTTCGTTTCCGTATCCTTTCATGACAAAACAGAAGTCTTTGCTTATCTGGAACTGGAAGCCCCCGTTCGCTTTCGCCGAAACTACGGGCAGCTATTGTTCAATCAACGTTTAGAGAAAAAAAAAAAAAAAATTGATTTATTGAAAAATTTGAAATTATTTCGTTATAAAAACTTAAAATCTAATATAAGAATGAAAAAAATAAGTTCAAGTAATATGTAAAGCGGAATCAGATTCGGTCTATTATTACACAAGGATTCAACAAAATATCTTTTTTCTTGCCTAATTTTAATTATTCTAAACATAATATTTTTAAACTCTGATCATTGAATTAATATTTTTTTAAAAATATTTTTTATGGACACAGTATTTAAATGACTAAAAATACTTTATTGTGATAATAATTACCATAAAGTTTAAATTATTTGAATAATGTATGAAATAGTCTTTGAAATGTTTTATATTAAAATAATCCAAAATTAAATTAAATAGTTTCAGTCATAAATATTTTTAATTAAATTTTAGGTGTTAATCAGGTTTTTCCACACCGCAATAGCTTTAAGAGATATATAACAGTCAAATATACGGTGAATTATTTTTTTTAAAGTGATTTACTTTTGTATTTTTTGGAGAAGCTGAACTTTTCATTTGATTTTTCAGCTATATTAATTATCAACAAATTATTGGTTTATTACATTCGATTTATTGTGAAGCAAATGGTATTTTTAGCCTTAAATACTATCACGATTCACGAGTACGATCTGAATTATTACCACAAATAAGCATTAAAATATGAATTTATATCTTTTATGTGAAAAAATGGTCATGTGGACATATTAATCATATGATCATGTTATTTGATCACAGTCACTCATTTAAAAATCATATATTTTTCTCTTCTTACATTTTTATTTAATAACAATGATATGTTATTCTACCTACTTTTTTTTCATGTCTTACCTACTAATCTCCAATACTGTTAGATTAGAATCTTAAGAGAAAAGAGATAAATGATGAAGGTTAGTAAAGATTTTGATCCAACAATATTAAAAAGTAGTAGACATAAAAAAAAAAGTAGGTACAATAATTTATCCCTTAATAATATATATATATATATATATATATATATATATATATATATATATATATATATATATCTACAAAATCAAACTGGGAAAGAAAAAAAGAAAGGGAAATTATACTCTTATGCAATAGGAGAGCAAAAAGTTTTCCTACACTAATTCGTTTTCTGTGTTAATTAATTTTTTTTTTCTAATATAAAATGTGGGATCCACATGTAATTTGTCTCTACTTTTGTTATCTCATATTTTCATGCAACATAAGAAAACATGTAACCAAAAAGAAAAGAAAAGAGGAAACACATTTATTTCTTTTTAAATTGTAAATATTAGACGCTGTACTGTTAGCAAAAGCAAAATATCCTTTGTCTTTGAACATGAACTCATTTATAAAGTAAAAGGGTATAGTTTCTAACCATATTTCATGTCAACGCTTGGTATATTGTCTTCCCTTTAAATAGTGATCACCTATTCTTCCTATTCACTCGTCCCTAAAACCTTTACGTTTTCCACACCTCTCCAAACAGAACCATGGAGACAAAACAAGAAAATATGCAATTTCTTGGGCTCTTAGGCGTGTACAAAGAATCCTACAAAATCATATTTTCATGGAGGAAGATCTTCAGCCAGATTACCTTAACTCTTATCCTCCCTCTCACCTTCATCTTCCTCGGTCACATACAAGTGTCCGATTTCCTCTTCGGGAAGATTGTACATGACTCGGTGCAAATCACCGAAACCGAACCTGGCACACCCCAACAACAGAAACTCATTGAAATGATCTCATCCGAATGGGCCACTTTGACTCTCTTCAAGCTAGTTTACTTCACTTTCATGCTCATCTTCTCCCTCATCTCCACCTCTGCGGTGGTTTACACCGTCGCTTCCATTTACACTGGCAGAGAGGTAACTTTCAACAAGGTCATAAGCGTTGTCCCAAAGGTCTGGAAGAGGCTTGTGGTAACTTTTTTGTGCACCGTTGTTGCTTTTTTCGTTTACAACGTTATGGCAGTGATGGTTATAATCATATGGGCACTTACGATTGGTGTAAGAAGTGGTGGGATTGCAATTTTGTTGGTCATAACGATCTTATATTTAATTGGGATTATGTATCTGACAGTGGTTTGGCAATTAGCTAGTGTTGTTACCGTGTTGGAAGACTCGTACGCATTTGAAGCAATGACGAAGAGCAAGGAATTGATAAAGGGGAAGATGGGTTTGTCCGTATTCATTTGTTTGAAGCTCAATGTTTCCTTCTTTCTGATACAGTTTTTGTTCATGATGGTGGTTGTGAATGGATGGAAGCTGTTCGGAATGAGCTCCATTGGAAGAACATCATATGGGATACTATGTTTCTTGTTGTTGTCTCATTTGTTTTTGTTGATGCTTGTTCTGCAAACTGTGCTTTATTTTGTTTGCAAATCTTACCACAATCAGAATATTGACAAGTCTGTTTTATCAGATCACCTGGAAGGTTATCAAGCAAAGTATGAGCCATTGATGGCTAAGGATGTTCAGCTGGACTACCATGTCTGATAGCTAGCTAGATGAATCATAATCTATAAATCTAAATGAATATTCCATATATCTGCTATAGTTTAATTTCTTTATGCCTTAAGATATATGTGTGTGTGTGTGTGTGTGATATCAAAGCAGAAATGAATATTTATATGTAGTGAATTCCAAAGGACATCTGTATAATGAAAGCATGTGGCTTCTTTGCATACGATATTAATAAATAATTTGAGTTTAATTTGTTCATAAAGGTTTTGTATATTAGCTGAATTAACTAACGAATTTCAGCATTGAATTTCCTTTAAAATCTGACTTGGCCTAACTCTGTGTGTGGTAGCTGCAGCCTGCAGGTATACAAAAATTGGGTTCATTTTACAGTAAATTTACACTTTTATAATACAAACGTTATTATTTTCGTTCTTGACATTTCAATTTTTTTTTAAAAAAATAATTTTATTCTTACTTCCGCTAAATAGATGATAGGCGGGCTAGACTTTCTTGCAGAAATTTTAATGGATCCTGCTAAAGAAAAACATTTCTAATCTGCTTGTTACTACTCGTACAAAATATAATGACGTGTGCTCCGGGCCGGCTTTAACAGCCCACTACATGTGGATTGGCCTCTAAAGGTTCATTTGAGAATCTCTTACCCCCCTGCATAACTCATCTATTACACATAGTAGTGAAACAATTCCTCACACACGACAGTGAGAAGTGGGCAAAAACGGTTAGGTTCCTTTTCTCTCTCATAGCATTAGGGAATATAATTCTCATTTATATTAATCCTTCTTCTTCCATTGAATAGATATATGAAAATTACCATATATTTATGAGTTGTTACATTATCAAAATCTATAACCACCATGCCCATACACATTTTCCCTTTCTCATCCTTGCTTGAGATTGCACCTATGGTGTCTCTCATGATACTTTGTTCCATACCACTACTACTTCGAGCACCTGCACGCAGGGGTAGGTATGGGTCGAATTGAACTGAATTTTTTAAAAAACTGAACCGAATTAAAGTAATTCGGTTCAAAAAACCAAACTTGAAAAAAAGTATGAAAATATTGAAGAAAAATTAAAATAAAAAATACAAATGATACTACACATTTGAAAAAAAAAAGCAATAGATAATTAAAAAATAAAATGAAATGAAAATAAGAGAGAAAAATACTTAAGAGAAAAAATAAAAATAAAAACTAAAGAACAAAATAAAGATAAAAGAAGGAACAAAATAAATAAAGAAGAAAAATAGAGGAAAAAAAGATAAAAAAAAATAAGAGAAGAAGAAGAAAAAATCAATCTGGTTCATAGTTTTTTAAACCAATTCAGTTCAAGAACTGCTTTTTAAAAACCAGTTTTTTCATGTGCAATTCAGTTTTTTAGTTCTTTTGCATACCGTACCCATACCTACATGTACCCATACCTACATAGAGATATACATCACCCATTGTGGGATACAGTCCAAGCGTCAAATCCACAATAGTTCAACCCATTATTGGGCCATACTCACTCTTATATATGTATCTGTAGGAGATAGATGAAATTAGATGTGATCCATCTTTTCCTTTTCTTTGGCTTCTCCTTATTGGGCCCTACTCATTCTTATGTATCTGTAGGAGATAATTTTATTTCTAACTTATAGTAGATATATTAAACGCATATTTTTTAGTGTAAAAGTTTAGTTGTTGATGACTTCCAATTTTAGATGAACAAATAAGATTAGGGCTTATGATGCACCGACACTTCAAAAAACTTGATGTATCGTGTTCCACACTCGCCGATACTCCGACACTCCAACACGCGTTGAAAAGACTTAAAAAAGGATTCAAAAGTTGCGTTGCGTTATGTTTCTAGTTTCAACTATTAGATTTGTTGGATTACAATTACCATTTTATTGAGTTTAATATAAATATTTATGATATCTTATATTTCTTTGTAAAATTGATAGGTATTATAAGTTTAGCTTCATTTTTTATTAAATTATTAAATATTAAATATTATATACACTACCTATAAGTTAAAAATATTATTTAATATCGAAATATGTCCTAACGTGTCAAAATCTAATTTTTTTTAAATTAACATGTCAGAGTGTCGTGTCACGTGTCGATGTCTGTGCAACATAGATTATAGCTATATCTCCTTCACTTGTAAAATTATGTATGTTTTGGGGATGAAATAAATATTTAATTATTATTCATGCGAACATTGTTTTGTTTAAATCTTCAACGAATTTGTTTATTGTTACCCCTCATACATAAATCCTTACTCACCAACAAGTGGAGTAAGGAGAGACATGCCAAACCATGCTTCTTGTCCCAGATGCAACCACCAAGTGGAGGATAGTAACTATATATTTAGAGATTGTAATGCTAGGGACATATAGGGTGTGCATGACAACCATCCCAGAGTCAATTTTTCTTCAATTTATATTCTCAAGAACAGAAACGGATAGAAACAGTGTTTGATAAAATCGATTTATTTTTTTGTTTCATAGAATGAACCGATTCAATTTGTATGTTGAGGAAGGAAAAAAAGAATAAAAAAATATTAGCTTCTCTGTTTATGGGCACAAATGAGAATGACTTTTTTTCCTCGTCATTTCTTCCCCTCACAGCTCCAGCCTCTTCTTTAAACCCAAATCTCATCCTCTTCAACTGACCCACCATTACACCAAGAAGCCATAATATGCAACTTCTGGCCTTCACCATCGGCCAAAAACACACTACCACTAGTGACTCATTCCCACACTGCAACCTTCCAACAACCCCATCGCTGCCATCTTCTTCCTTTTCCTTGAACTAAACCCGAACCTACAAAACCACCATTCTTCCATCGGCCAAAAAAACCTACAGCCCACCGTGGGAGCTTCACTGCCGGTAAACCTTCCCAGCCACCAAAGATAGACATTCATCCAACTCACCTCCACCGCACCACCATATTCTTCACTGTCCAATCGCCACTACAACAGGACCACTCACCATCTAAACACCTTCACACAACCACACCCATTCCATCACTGTCGTCGTTTAAGCCTACCGCCTTCCTCCATCGAACCACCCTATTCTCCGCCTACCACCACCTTCGACACCCACTCCCACTACCACGGTGAAACCCTCATTTCATTTTCCATTAACCTCCAAAAGCCTAGACCCACCTTGACTGACCCTTCTCTTCGGCCATCAATCAACCATTCCCATTCAATACAACAACAATAATGTTTGCATTGTGATTTTTAGATAATAAAATATTATAATTTTTAGATATATTTTTTTAATATATGAAATTTTGGCATTTTGGTTAAAATCTATTGCAATTTGTTATCTTATACAGTTGATCAAATTTGTAAAACAAAAAACAATTCTGATTCTTGGAATAACAAAAAATGTGTTAACAAACATAATTCTAATTCTTCGAATAAAAATAAAATGTGTTAACAAACGTAATTCTGATTCTCAGAACTCTTCCTAGACACAGAATCAGAAAAAAAAAATGTATCATCTCATAAACAGTGCTGGGGAACAGAATGATTATCATGCACACCCATAGTGTAGACTAGTCTGACAAATAGACAAAGCAAGGTTCTTTAGTTTTAGTTTCGCCGATTGATTAACATCTAACCTAGGAGCTTATTTTTGTGCTCCAGAAGCACATGCTCCTTGCCCAAAAATGGGAAAATGTGGGATACGAGAGGAAATAAATATAAAGGTAAGGGTAGTGTAAAAGTGTTACTTTTTACTATATTTGGTAAAAGGAGTACCACGTACTCTGTGCTCTTGGAGCACCGAAAACATTTTCCTAACCTAGAGCAAAATGGGTTCAAGATCAATTGATCTTCAACAAGAGAACCACTTTTGGAGTGGTCTACTGGTTTATTTGGAGAGATTAAAATGACCTTGTTTTAATAGGAAACACGTTCACCCCATAAGTTGTGGTTTGTAGAGCAACAATATATGTGAATGATATTATGCAAGCAGAAGTTAGCCTTTCCTCAAAAGGAATCCTCGCAACACTTAATTGGGAGGTTATGATTAAATTGATCTTTCCCAATGATGGTTAGGTTTAAATTAATATTGGTGGATCATATATTTGAAAGGTCACATAAGAGGATGTGGATGAGTGATTAGAAATAGCTCTGGGCAATGGATTACAGGTTTAAAAAAAAGTCTGGGAAGTAGAAACTCCCTCTTAGCAGAACATTGGGGCTCTTTCATGGGCTAAACTTAGAAGAAATAAATAGATGTATTTCTAGGGTGAGACTATGTTGGCACAATTAGATCTGAAGAAGTATAAAGATCGTTGTGGTTTAAAATGCAAAAGATTATCTATGTTCTTGGTTTCACAGAATATTACCTCTTATTGTGCAGATCTACAAGAATCCCCCTTTGTATCGGTGTGGTGATCCCCCTCGCCTCTGCTGCCATGGAATCTCGTCTTTCGTGTCTCAGCACAAACACTCATTCGCATCTCAGCATGAAAACTCCTCTGCGTCACAGCATGAACAGATCTTTTTGCTGAAGCTTCACAATCAAATATATGAATATGGCCTTCGGAGGATGGTAGTATCTTCCAGACTATTCTAAAATGGAAGGGGGAGGAATGTGTGGGTATTCTAGGGTTTCAGTTCTCAAATCTGTCAGCAATAACACTGAAGGTTGATGACTAAAATGAGACTATTTATATAGACACCGAAAAACCTTAGCCCTAAGTTTCTTGGGCTCTAGGCTAGGCCTCTTAGGCTATTCTCAGCCCAATTAGATTCTAGTAAAAGAACATAAACATAACAGACACAATAGTAGCTGTTAAACTAATGGCTTCAGGGTGTAAGGAATACTAACCTTTCTTCAATTTAGTTACCAGGATTTTTTTTCTTATCAAACGACCAAGGAATGTGAAGTTGTCTCATACACACAAAAATGCCATAATATAGTTGGTTAGCTAGCTTCCTATACAGTTGTCCATGATTGGAATGTGCATGTATTTAATTTTTCTCCACAAGATGGTAAGGTATTTGTGGGTAATGATCTGATGTGGGTGGCGTATCCCCGGATAATCCGCAATTAGGTTTTTCTTTATTATTTCTTTATGTTTCCTTATTTCCCTAAAAAGATCTAAAAATAAATATCCAACTCTTATTCAAGACAATTAAAAATCCTCTCTTGAAATACAATACATCATTAGAGGATCCTTTAATGCAAAAGCT